ATTATTCAACAAATATAAAATTAATTTTTGAAACATTATATGTATGCTGCTTTTTCTCGATTGTGTTTCTCGATTATGAATAAACATACCTCGCACAGAATTTTTTCTAATCTTCTTTTCAACGCGCGGAGCCAAAATATCCGATGTCTGCAAAGTTAGTGTCTGCAAACAGCTCGTCAGTAAGTCGGCGAACAGGCATGTTCGACATGAAACGGATGGTGAGAGGAAAAAGTATCATTCTTACGTAACAATCTGGAAGGCGTTCCTCGTTCAGATATTCTAACGTCAAAAACGTAAAAACAATTTGGTGAATGTTGATACATTTGGTTAAAATTTGGTTAAACTAAACTAGCAAATTAAACAAAGATACAAATTAATGATAAATAATTCAGAACAATTCCTATCTTAAGTTTATAATAGATAAAATCTAGTAAAAATAAATCTATTTAAAATTATATTAAATTTACTACGATTGAACTTAATTAAACTAAAGCATAAATTTAAAGTATTAGATATTAAAAATTCAAAAAAAGTCTCAGTATTCTTAAAAAAAATGTATGAAATAAAATTTTAGAGCTACTTAATAATTTATTAAAATCTGCCTAAATTCGCTAACTTTTTCAATCCTACTTCATCGAGATGAACGGACGAAGCGTCGTCATGAGGATACGAAGGCAGGGCTTCCAGTATCCTTGGAGGAGGCTTCTTCATGGTATTGACGAAGGCGTTGTAGGTGAAGCGATTGGGTTGCTCATCGTGAACCCAACCTCCGCGTATTGCCAATCTGTGAGGATTTGGACTGTAGTTGCTGTCGCCGAGCATCGGTGCGCTACTTTGTAGATTCAGCGCGTTCAATTGCATGTAACCGCTACCACCTGCAATCGGCATCGAGTCTTCTGAACCGCCGGATCTACTCAATCGATTTCCCGGCTCTGAAATATTCGTATTATTAATCGTGACAGAAGATATCTAAATCAAATATTTCTTTGTAAAACTTTTCTATAAATCAGACAATGCTGTAATAAAATATAATAATTGTATAATAGTATATTATATATAATAATGTGAGTATTTTATACACACATATGAATATTTACCAAAAGTTTTTGCCTCTCTTGCGTGTGCCAGAAGGGTGTTCGCTCTGCTTCTCCGGAAATAAGCGTCCACAATATCCCAACCTTTTTTATTCTTCACACCTTTACTGTCATCCTCTTCATTGCTCTGACTACTATCGTCTTCGTCATTGCTGCCACCGTTATTACTATTATTATTGAGATCTGCCTTAGAGGAAATTCCGGCAGTGTAAAGAATGTCCCCTCGCGCCACAGGAGCGGCAGGAGGTAGAGGAATGTGAGGAGATACGTCTGGCAATCGCCACCGTCCTAACTCATCGCACCAAGTTGCCGCAGTTCTCATCGCCGCGATATCTCGAAAGGGACAGCCCGGACGAAGATAGGGCACCATGAGATCACATAATTGGGATGTTAATAATTCTCTTCGAAGAAGCTCGCGACGCTCGGCATCCCAGGATGCTTGCAGATCCGCTGCCTCGGCTTCCAATTGCTTCACCTTCTTTGCCATTTTCTTTAAAGCATCCTCTGTCGATCTATTATTTTAAATATATTAACACATTGTATATCATTGATAACAATATAAACATTAAAACTTGCAGTAATTGAGTAGTTGCATTAGAATTTTTTATTTGATTCCACTTTTATTCTGAAATTTATATCAATATCAAAATTGACGTACTTCAGTTGACCATACACTTGGAAGACACTACCGTTGGCGTCATTGGCTTCCAATGCCCCTACAAGAACTTCTAGCTTCTTCCTCCTTTTTTCCCTCCTCTTCTTCAGCTCTGTATTGCCAATCTCTTCTCCACCGATCGTCAATTTCTCTAATCTTCTTAAAACGTCTTGCAAAGCGACCTCTCTCTTCTTCCTTCTTCTTTCGGCTCGTTCTTTATCCAATACACCCATCTCCTGATTTTCTTGATTGATATTTCCCGTTCTATCAACGTTGTCTGTTACATTTAATCCTGATTCGTAGCGAGATTTGAGGGCTTCTAATTCCTCTTTTAGCATCTGCGCCGACAAATTTGAGCTCTCGCATTCTTTTCTCAGCTTCTCCACCTTTATACATAATTTTCTTTAGTTACTATATGCAATTTACATGTCTTGATAAGTAAAAAGTAATGTGACCATTTTGTTTTTTTAATTTTTGATAAATAATTTGATAATTTTATATATCTACTTATTAAAATTATAAATCACGACAAATGATAGAATTTATGGAATTATATTACATCACCTCTTCGGCGTATTGTTTCTCTCTCAAAGCCTCGCCCTCTTCATCTAAATCTTTCTGGAAATCCAATCCGTTTGGTTGATCGCTCGAATCGAGTAACTTTTTCAAACGTTGAAGTTCCAATTGGTACTGTCTAAGAAGAGCATCTTTGGGATCTTCATTTACGATGGGCTTGTTCTTAATGCAACGAGCTCTGGCGGCGTAGCGTAGAGTGCTGAGGGTTTCCTCAGCATCGATATCGCTCGGACTCACGCACGCAATCATCAGTGTCCTGGCATTCCCACCCAGACTGTCTCGTAACAATCTCGTTAATTTGCTATCCCTGAAACATTTTTGTTTGATTTTTTATTCATACAAAAACATAATATTTAGCCTTAAAGATTTGTTTTTACCTGTAAGGGACATGTCTTCCATTTCCAGCAGCTAATGCACTGATCACATTCCCCAACGCCGATAAACTCAGATTGATACTCGCAGCTTCTTTCAAACGATCACCCGTAGCTCCAGTTCTAGTTTGCCTCTCCGATCCCGCCAGATCAACCAAGTGCAGTCGACCTCTCCTGATAGCGTTGCCGCGTTTATCATCATCGTTGATGGCGATCGCTTCAAGTGATAAAGTTAAAACAGCGTGACTTCTTGAACTAGCAGCATTCATTTTTGTCGCGGCTGCGGCTCTCCTTTGATCGCCTTGATGGACTAGGACGGTGCATTCGGCCGCATCTTTTACGGTGACCTCGCGCAAACCCCCGGCAACATAGGTACCTCTCGAGGGATCCTCCTTCAAAGTTAAAGTCTCGCCAGTGTCGTCTTGTAGCAGATCTCGCAATCGTTCGTTGTAAATTTCGAGGTAACTCAACAATGCTAAGTACCTAAAAATATATAAAATGTAAAAAATTAAAAATAGAGAGAATTAGAGATGATTACAAAAAGGATGATTAAGTCAGGTTGATCAAGATTGCTATCATATGCTTATATTTTTATTTGGATATATACATATATACAATATTTCTAATATAAAAGTTGATTTAATAATCGAGAAACAAGCCTAAAATACCTTGTCTCGGAACTGGCAGTAGAAGTCGCTTCAAATAGATGTTCCAATGTTCGTTCGATAAATCCTCGCATAGTGAACGATTTTCCACAGCCGGTTTGTCCATAAGCAAATACAGTGCCATTGTAACCTTCCAAGACAGCTTCGACGATGACCGACCCCACATTTTCATAAACCGATTCTGTTGTAGCGGATGGGCTGAATGCGGCGTCAAATTGGTAGACTTTTCCAGTTCCACTGGCGGAATTTTCCAGCGTGCAGCATTTTGTCAGCGAATCGACCGTTACAACGTTCTACGCAGTTGATGCCAGAAATTTATACAAAATTTTATGACATTCAAGCGAAAATGCATTGTCGAAATGCTTCATCTTTCATATTGATGCAGATTATTTTAATTTATTAAACAATGTACTTGGCAAATTAGTTTTTAAAAAAATGGCGTTAAAATAAATGGTGAATAAATTTGATTAATTAAAATTACATCGATAAAATATAATTTGTGGAGGAATCTTTCATACGTACAAGGGTATAGGATAATAACAAGAATGTGACATATACAAGGTGTGATCTGAATAAGAGATAATCTTGTGTGATATCTTAATGTGAAGTCAAGGCAAAAATTGTTGCGCCTAATGGCGAAAAATGTTCAATAATCGGACTGTCGGAACTATGGTGAGTCATAAATGCGACAAGTCTCGCGGAAAAACAATTCTGAGAATATAGAACTTCACGTATGAGGATGTGAAATATTGTTGGTTGTGAGACTATACATGGCCCGTAATCAATTATACGGCCATAAAGTTACGAGAAACGATTTGCTAAATGCCACTTATATTATATATATATGCGTCCAAGTGAAGAGAATATAGTGAAAATTGAAATAAAACTAATAACTAAATTAAATTACATAAAATAAATAATTTCTTTTTAAATATATTTTTCTTATTTGTTTTAATCTTTATCTCGATTAAATCATAGTCAATATTTTTTGACAACTATTTCTCGTCTTCGTAAAGTACAAAATTGATTATAAAATTGTACATATACATTTATTAATTATAAAAGTACTGGTTCACAGAGTATTTAATAAAAAAAATAATAATAATAGTTATAAAAATTAATAATTGATAAAATTGATAAAAGTAATAATTGTAAATGTAATAATATTACATAACTAAAAAATAATAATTATATAATTTCAGCACCAAAGGCATTCATACAATTCCTGGTAAAACGATAACATTGATTTTCCATTAAACTAACAAAAGTTATATTGTCGTGTTTAATATCGCTAAATGTAGAGCGTAGTATAATATTGCAGTCAATGATAAAAACTTTAGACATGTGTGCATTGACACACTGACTTCTTTCGTCAGGATATACTTTGATTCGTTGATATATACGTAGTGAATCTGTAGGTAAATGCTGTAAGCGTATTACAGTAATGCGGATTACGTATGTCGATGCATAAACTATTTAGCGATCTGCGAGGACACTGTGTACAAGCACGCACGCTACCTATCCATCTGTTATATCTAGTCTTTTGTATACCGTGATGTCTTAAAAAAGCTTGAATTTTTTTTATTCGGAAAATATTTAAATATCAAATCGAAATGAATAAAATAAATTATATTCTATACATTATCTATAGAATGTCATATGTTATAAAAAGTAATACGACAGTATAGATGGCTTAAATAATATTAGAATTTTATATTCAAAGTTAATGTAGGAAATTATTCGTCTTATAATTATAATATATAACATAATCTCAAATTGTTGATTAACAAGAAAAAAAAACGCATTATGTAAAAACTTATTATCAATCTTTTATCCGGTTCTTCATTTTATATCTCGAGTTTTATATTATTATTAGTATAAATTATTTTTACAATTCTTATATAATAATTTTAGTAAAATATTGGAAAAATAAGCTGTTCCAAAAATTCTTTAGTTAAAAATTACTAAGCAAAAAAATTTTAAATAAATTCCAGGAATGTAAAAAATTACTCGGTTGTCTTTTCTAGTGCAAAACATGTAAAGTATTATTCGCGTGAATCGTCGCGTTACTAAAAGCGAGAAAAGTGTAGGTTGATGGCACATATACTCATAGCTGTGTGAGAGGGATAGTACGTGCGTATATGTACAGCACGTGTGTCGTCATTTACAGGAAAGATGGTAAAGAGTGACTTGCCGGACTATCGATTTGGCACATATTCCACCCGCCATCGATAAACGCTTGTAAATGTGTCTGCTATCTGTGTTGTATGCATCGAGTCACGCAGTGGTGCAAAAGTAGGTAAAATTTTTTTCTCAAAATTAAATAATAATTTTCGCAAAGACAGAATAATTCATCTGACTTCGGGAAAGGAAGATCTACACTAAATAATATTTTTGTATTGAATCATATTATACAAAGAGAGGAAAAAAGGAGGCAAGGAAGAAAAAATATATGCATTATTTGTGGATTTAAAGGCAGAGTTTGATAATGTCGAGAGAGAGATAAACTATGAGAAATATTAAGAGAGAGAAAAGTGTGAAGGAACAGCTGATGGGATGACTAAAAAATATTCAAGGAAACGGATATAACGGTAAGAGCGGAGGAAGCCGTAACAAGCAAGTTCAGAATCAAAAAAGAAATAAGACAAGGCTGTATGGATGAATTACGGTTTAGTTTATATATTGCGGATATAGATAAGAAAATGGAAGAAAGAAAAATAAGGGGTATAGCATTAGGTGGAGATAAAATATGGTCGTTGGCGTATGCGGGCGATATGGTTTTCATTGAAAAAAATAAGGAAGCGTTAGAGGATATGATGGATACGTTGCGACGACTTTTAAATAAAAGGAAATTTGAATTATGTACAAAGAAGACAAAAATTGTAGTAATTGTAGAAACCGAGTAAAAAAGGCAGAATTGCGGCAAATAAAGTGTGGGGTTTGGGAGAGAGGATATGCAAGGATGATTTTAGGAGAAGATGGACGCTTTTCAAATATTTGCTACAGAGTGTAATGTCGCTTGGAATTGAAATTTAGGACTGGGATGGAAAAAGACGAAAGAAAATTAACTTTCCATGATAGTAGAATTTGATCTGATAGTATATAGTATAGGGAAAGATGTTCTAGACATGAGAGTGTTATATCTTATAAGAGGATAGAGGTGATTAAGTTTAATTTAGCTATTAAGAATATGAATGGATGAAGAGATTAAATTAAGGATTGCAAATCAAGTCCCCTTCTTCGCTGTAAGCTGAGGTGAAATTGATTATCTCGAGAAATTCGTCTCGTTGCAGCGAAAAGTGCAACATCCGCACGGACGAACATGTTGCGCGCATGTTTTGATACGGTCGCTAAGCTACAACGCGCTCGATATATGACAATGTCACTTTTCAAGCCGGAAATAAGCGAAATGAAAAATATAATAGATTAACTAGTCTACAAATTAAACAGATATATGCGCGCACACGTATGATACACACTATAAAGCGCCGAGTGCACGCGCTCCCGAAGGTGAATTAACATCTTCGTTCTTAGTTTAATTAGATTAGAACATGATGAAATAAATGAAGAAAATAATGCTGATGGTTTTGAAGTTGAGCATTAAATACATTTTTTTGGCCTTATCGTAAATTTATCGTAAATTTCGGATATTTTAGTTTGGACAACGCGTCATTGAAATAAAATAACCAGTGTGCAATTGTGATCTTCTTAATATTATCGTACAAAAGTGCTTAATTAATCATTTACATGTTTTAGATGTTTTGGTGTAAAATAGAAAATATATAATTACTTATAAAGTTAGTCTTATCTGGCTAATATTTTCTGTTAAAATAAAAATAAGAATTTTGCGATATATTGGCAATACGTGATTAGTAAAGAAATAATAGAGTAAACAAATATCATTTCGTTGGTGCGTTATTACGTACCCGACATCCTTGCTGCAGCTCCTTGTTGGACATAGGTCGACATCTTATCGCCACTTTGACGGACTCGGACATCTGGAAATAAAGAAAAATATCTTCTATTTCACATTTTATTCAAATCGCAATAATGTAAGTCGTAGTCTTTTTGTAAAATTTCATGTAAAAATTAGCTGTTACTTTGTAATATCTTTTTCTCCATGATAAGAAAGGAACAAAATCTTAAATTTTATATGGTGTAAAAAGATGCGGTACTATGATTACTATAGATAAAATGTAACAACGTTTCTACATTAAATTAAAATAAAATACAATGTTACGTATTATTTATAGTTAATGGAAAAGTTAGTATGTTTGCCGCTTTAACAGGATGTAAAACAAACACCGCATTATCTATTGCTTTTTGAGATAAACAAAATTCGAGTAAAACTGAATAAAATTTGCTTTAATACAATATTCTGATATAAATCGAGATATAAGTTGAGAAATAAAAGACAACAAGTGCTGGTTCTAGTTATTGCCTGAGTAAACACGTAACTTTGAGGTAACTGGTTTCTAAGGAAAGTATACGGTCATTGATTTTTTCTCTCTTTGCAACTCCTATAAAATTTGCATTCATTCTTCCTCGATTTTCGAGAAATCGTACTGCGCAATCAATATACCGTGTACCATGTAACCATACACTATCTTATATGAAAATTTTATTCTACATTTTCAATTTATTCTTGCTTATAGATTTCTTTTCTTTTCGTTGTAGTGTGTACTATAATTTGTACTACATCTTGTATATTCTGCGCAATAAGAAAGGCAAAATACACATTTTACATTGCAAAATAGACAACTAGCTTTGAATGTATTGTAAGTTAAAGAATAATTAATGAAGAAAGCTATCAATAGTGTAGAGCCATTTATGCTATAAATATGAAAATGGGGAAATTGTTATCAAATATCTACTTAGCGAGTATTATAACTCTGAAACCTTATATCAGGATATTTCATTCTTACGTCAGCTGACCTTCGTAAATGAGCCGACCTTCATAAATCAACTGACCGTGAACCTAAAGTTGAATCGTCTGGCTCGTGACACACGCCTACATCACATTCTTATCAATGCGTGAGTGTAATCGTGTAACTATACGTATGTATACTTACAGGGTTTCAGATAAACATCAAAATGTGCTAAGGGATGCTTATTTCCGAATTAAACCTTCTACTTGGTAGGCTAATAATGTTTTCCTGTGTAAAATTTTATTTAACTTTACGAGTATAAATGTAATGTCTTTTAGAAAAAAAGTTTTCGAGAGTTTCCTTAAAATTTTTCATTAATTATTTTTTCAATTTTTTAATTAAATACTTTAATTAAATATTACGAGTAAGTTTTTTTGTTCACTTTCAAATAATCCAGGATCGAACAACTTGTTACTTTATTAGTAACAAAAGAAATATGTATATTGTATTTGGAAAATTAATCACAATCTTGAAAACATTAGTATAAGCAATTTTGAATATTTATACTGCTAAATATTTAACACTATATATAATTATAAATATTTAATACTAACTTGAATAAAGTCAAAATATTTTAACAATTTTGTAAGAAAATTCTTATTTTTCTTTATAGCGTCTTACATGCCAAATTTTTCTACTTTGAGAAGCAATTATGTGCATATATGTAGTGAACTAGCTATCTTACTTTTATACAACGTGATGCGTGATTATATCTATATCGAATCTAGATTGTAAAGGGTAGATACACGGTGACCGCTTGACCGAGAGAAACCCAAGTTTGACCTAGTCGTGGTTTACTATAATACACTGCTATAATCATTTGCTTGTAAAACAAAATTAAGATAAAAAAGAATTGTATACATCATGCACATTTTTTTAGATGGAATAATTCTTTTAATTATAGCTATTAATGTATTGCATGTTAAGTGTAATGCCTCCCTCTCTTTCTCTAACAATTACACACATATAATACACAAAATATATTCACATAATTAAAAATAAATTTTTTTCTTTGATAAATTTAGAGTTAATTATTTTGTAGAGAAGATTTGATTGTGTGCACCATTTCTTTTTAATCATTTTTCTCTTAACTCTTGGTATTAAGTACTATGATAATTAAACCATTAATTTTAAATCATATAATTTTATTAATTCTTTAATTAATAAAATTCTTAATTAATAATTTTTAATTAATTGATTAATTCTTAATTAATAAAAATGGCCTTTTTTAATTAATATTTATATGTTTCTTATGTCAAATCAGTAAATCAGTAAAAAGTAAACAATGAAAAACATTGAAAAAAAATAGAAAACAAATAACATATTTTGACTCAAATTTCTTCTATTATCAAATTACAACAAATTACAACATTTGTTAACTAAAATCCATTTGCAATTAAATGAAGAATAAAACTCTTTACTATCTACTTGTTCTTTTCCAGAATTTAAATTGCGAGAAGCTATCCATTTCTTTTTATTTCTACATTTTCAATTAAAATTTGTCAAAAAATCCACCTATAAACTGATATATTTTGCATACTCTATAATTAAAAAATTTTCACAACTTGTTACTTACATTTACAATTCAGCACGTTTTTATCTTACAATCTTACATTGGAGAAGAAAAAAACATGATTATCCACTACACATAATTTGAATCAAGAAAAATTCTAAGCGACGTCCACGTACAACGTGAATTCACAGCAACAAGCACTTTCGGACTGACGACGCCGCACAGGTGCAGCGTCGCGATGCCACGGAACTTTTGCCATGTTGTATTGAAGTCGAATCGTCACAGCGGCGCGCGCACATTCCAATCGGTTCAAACTTCTATTTTTTATTACGTTATAAGTATCTCTTTAGTCTATACATAAAAATTAGTTCTAGCTGTATTATTAAATCAATGGCTCTATTATGCCGAAAATATCGATTTTTATTGGATAATCAAACAACATTAATTTTTAATTCACAATTTATAGATTAGATGCACGAATATGCATCACAAACTACAGTATCGATAAATGGATGTAACAATATACTAGTCGCTTAATAAAATCGGCGCAAGATGTCGCGACAACCATGATATTACAATTTTCCGTTTGCGAGAAACTCACGTTTGCACAATTGCATACACAGGTACGCACAAATTTTGAGATTATCTTTTAAACTCAGTTTTAATTGTTTTATTTTATTCTTTTATATAATCCAAAGAGCGCAAACTAATAATTTTATACATATAAACTTATATTAATACATAATTGTTATATTGAGTTAAGAGATAAACAGAAGTCTATATTTTTATTTTTTGTTTTTGTTTTGATTGAGTTATCTAAGTTTGCATTCTTTATCTTTTATTCTAAAAAATAATTTTTTGTTTTGAAAAGCCAATGAAAAGATTTTCTTAATTAAAAATCATAACATTTCGCTGATACAACAAACAACTCCAGAATTTCTTTAATTTTTAATAATTAATTTTAATAATTTTTGATCAAACTATACTATTTTTCATATATTCACTAAATAAAAATAACATTACTAACAATTCTGATTTATGGAATCTGTTCGGATAATAGAAAAATGTTTATTGAGCATAGACTTACACGTTACAATAGTAATAATAATCGACAAAGTGCATAATACAATGATAATTAATTAATGATGTAATATTCTCCAACGGATAAAAAGTTACTTACTTAAACGTACTTTTGTGAATTTTTCCGACTTGCATCGGTTTGACTAGCATATTAGAAGCATATTATTGACATCATCGTGTTAATCATTATGAAAAATGAAAGCACATCCACGCAAAAAATCGACGATATACAAGATATTATAATATTAAAAACGCGTTTAATAAATTAAATACGAACAAATGTACATTTATAAATTGCTAATCATTACTAATATATACTAATATATATATAAAACGAGTGCATTAAAATGGTAAAGACAATAAAAAGATGCGAGGCTGATTAGAGTTCTAGCAAAATATATTTCAAGCATTGTTTTTGCAAACCCGAACCATTATCAATACTTGTAGTAAGTCTCAAAATTTGTTGATATTTATTAATATTTTTCAATTTATATATTTTATGATGTATAGCTGATTATATTCACATTAGATGTTCATTGTTTTATTGTTATTCTCTATTATGTAATATTATTGACACACGCAGTATAGAAGTTACGTGCATGTACCTAGATACTGATCAGCCTGGCAAATTCTCTTACAGAAAAAAATAATAAAAAGAGAGGAATCACATGTGAGAAACATTAATAAAAATATGTATACAACTTGTGTAATAATAAATACCCGAAATTTGCCTAAGAGTACGGATTGCTTATTTTACTAGAATTTGCGACTTTTCGTCTCGTAGAAAGTACTTAAAATAGAATGTCTAAGCTAGTCTTCTTTTCGTTCTTTATTCTAAACTTCGCGTCTTTGCGCGCGCGTCGAGAAGTCTTCTTATTTCGTTTTTTTTATTTATTCGATATTATAGAAAACGTATAGCAATTTTTTTTGTCTTGTGTATGTGTGTGTGTGTGTGTGTGTGTGCGCGCGCGTGCGTGCGTGCGTGGTGTGTATATATATATGTGTGTGTATATATATATATATATATATGTATATGTATATATGTATATATATATATATATATATATGTATGTATGTATAAAGTATAGTACTCGCAAAGTTGGCCTCACATCCAGAGTTCATTAGCGAATCAGTCATTATAATAATAAAAAAATTTGTTAGTTTTATCATTACCTGAGATTATTAAAGAAATTAAAATAAAGCAAAATTGTTTTATTTTAATTAGAAAAACTTTCTATCTATTTTTAATAATGGATTAGTTAAGATACAATTTTGTTATATTAAGAAAATCGCATTTTTTATTGAAAACAAAACATTCATTTTTCATTATTACTTTTAATATTTTATTTTCAAAAAATAAAAAAAAAATACTAAATTAGTCAAAAAATTTATTCGTTTCCCTCTTAGATTAAAATAAAAACAAAAAGACCATTTCGATTGTCGTTTGATAAATATAAGTTTGATATATATAAGTTAGTTTATAGTTTTTCTAACACGCGCGATTTTATTAATTTAGTAAGCTTTATATTTTTTCAATTTCTCAATTATTAAAAACTGATCAAAATAATAATAATCTTATGTAATTAATAATAAGATATATGTAGAATTATTATTATCTTAATTATTAATTAATAAGATAAAACTATTATTACTGTTTACTTATTAACTTTTTTTCTTAATGTTCTCTCGACATGAGTCTCACTTTGTTCGTTTAGAACAGCTTCGCCTCGAGAGAGCAGCGTCCTTTTCTTATTGCAGACGTACACGAGATACTATGAATACTGAGTAAATACATACACGACTTTTTTCGCAATACACCATATATATAAATTAAGGCGGAATGAATCATTGACTAAATTTCAAGTTTTGTTATACCAAAACGAAAAGAGAAATTTCTGCGTGAATGAATGTCTTAAAAAACAATCATTTCACAAAGCGCAGCTCACTATATTACGTACATGTATCGTGCATCGATATGTGCAGATATACCTTTTTTGCATGTCTGATTTTTTTTTAAATTTTTAAAATTTACTTGAAATTCAATTAATAGTCAATTTCGCCCAATCAATCGATGAGTAGAGACTTGATCGCGAAGAGTAATTTTAGTTTTCATATTTGAATACTAATTTTATTTAGGATCTAATTGTAAGATATAAAAGATTAAAATACAAAAGATTAAAATAATAACCACTTTGTGGTTACACAAAAATTAAAAAGTCGCATATTATTTGAAATCTTTTTTAAGCCAATTAAGAAATATATACCAAGTTTTATTCGTTTTCAATGACTAGTTTTATTCGTTTTCTAATTATTTTAATTTTCTTCGCGATTAAGTAGTTAAAATACTTGCACAAATGGTAAAGACTCTCTCGTATTTCTTCATTAATTTCTTATATTTCATGAAAATGGCAGTATTAAAGGGATTTCAGTTAAAATCTTGCATGTTTAATTGTAAATGAATAGTTTAATATTTTTACAGAGAAACAATACTATACCTTCCAACGAATTTTGACACGACTGATTAGTATAATGGAAAACGCAATACGATGAGAGATATCTTATGAAAAAGGTCTGAAGGCTACTCCTAAATCGATTAAAACATTTTGTTATTCTTAAGAGTTGGTCTTGGGCCAAGCTATCTTCGCGTCGATTCGTTTGAATGCGAAAAGGCAATGAGAGAGCTCTTGCGGGCACTCATGATCTCCGAGTAACGTTTCTGAAACAATTTCCAGTAAAAAATTTAAATATAAATTATCACAAGGTACTAAAATATGCAACTGTTAAACAATTTTTTGTCTGTTATGCAACTTACTGTCATCAATAATTAAATATAAAAAGTTAAATGATACTATATTAATAAGTAATATTACAATAATAAATTAAGGCACATGCAAATAAAATAATCTTGAAACGTGAAAACAAAAACACTTAAAATAAATCTACTAATTTTTAATATTCAATTATTTTAAGTAGTTTACAGATTTTTTGCTAATAAATATTGTACAAACGCTTCTTATTATTTTACATTAAACAATATAATAATTTATTATTCATATTAAATTATATTCAATATTCTTGTTAAATACATACCTTCTCCTTGCACCAACTTAAAGAGTCCGTAATCTTGAGGATTCGTACATCTAATCTTATGCGCGAGAATGCGGCAGATCTCCCTGGTGTTCATATTGGGTCGCACTGGAAGTGTCCTGGTGTTCAGAGAACCATGCAGCTCATCCGGCACCAAAATCCGCAGCACAGATGAACAATCCGGCGGGCCACATCCCTAAAAAGATATCCTTGTTAAGATATCGAATTATTCAAGTTTAATGTTATCTAAATTTTCAAAGAAATTCGTCTTTATACGTACATACGCGTACACACGACGCACCTGCACGTACATAAAAAAGTAACAAAATTTTCAAATTTTGCTATTTTTAATTTCATTAAATTAGATTACATTCAAAGTTTAAGTATTGGACTAGATAAATTATGATCAGTAATTAAAGAAACTGCAAGAACTTATAAACTCTTTATTCAAATTAAGTAATTAGACTATGATTAGTTAGAAAAAAAAAACACATACACATCTATCCATTTAATCATTATGTAAAAGTAATTAATTATGTGTGTGTGTGTGTGTGTGTGCGTGTGTGTGTAGTGTCTATAAGACACTATCAACAATATTTATCGCTTACGTTCAACGTGGACATGGTGCTCTGGCTGGACTTAAAGGTCTTCAGAACGTGCACCGCGCTTGACAGTGTTGTCAGATAGTAACCACCCTCGCCGTTCAATAGAGAAGCGTGGAGTAAGCCCCACATGTACTCGGCTTCGATCTCCGCGTCCACCACTTTGCCGTGCACCAACACCCAGATCACCAGTGGCAGAAGGTCGTCGGCGCCCAAGGTAATGTGTCTGCTGCCTGAGTTAGACTGTTTCACCTGCAAAATCGCAATTAGGGAGAACATTATATTATAATATATACTATACCACAATAAAAATTAATGTAATAGTAGAAGAAAATCGTGGCTTACAGAGTTGAAGATGGTCGAGATGGCTGCTAGCAGATGTTCCAGTTTCTCCAGTGGAGAGTCGGCTTTTTGCAGCCGCTCGATGCATTTGAGAATACGCTCTAAGCTCTCCTCCGAAGGGGGAATGATTTTTGACTGCACATATAAACAATCGGTATTAGATAAGCTTTTTTAATTTAACAAGTGAGATACATTTAATAAAATTATTCCATGTTTTAAAACTTGATTTTGTTTCCAATACCTATTATTATTATTATATAGAGTTAGCTATTCATATATAAACACTTATTCGACTCCGTGTTAATTTCGAAAATAGCGTTCTCTCTAATATTTCTACGTACTGAAGAGATATACTCACTCGAACGCCGAGTTCGTGAATAGTCTTGCCCTGGGCGTGCTGAATATTCTCTGCTAGTGTCTGCAGCGCTCCGGTGGCAGCGTAATGGTCGATGAATAGCTGGCATACGTGTTCCCGGAGGGGTCTCACCACTAAACCCATCATCACATCCTCGAGGATCGCGTCGAGATTGAGAAACTCATTTGCTCGTAACTTGAGTCGTTCCTTCTCCACCTCCTTTTCGAAACCGCGCTCGCCATGCTTCACCAAGTAGTTCTTCATGCCCGACATAAACTGCCGCATGTTGCGCATCACCACATGCGGACTCGCCTCTTTACTCTCTCGCGTGCATTGAATAAAGTTATCGATGTTCTGCGAAAAAGTCGTGGTCTTGTCCGCTGCAAGCTGAAGAGCATAAGTTCTGATGGTCGATCCGGTTCCACTCTGTTGGTCGCGATTTCTTGAAAGCGCTTGTATTCGTGGCGGTGCTGTAAAAAGAAAATTGTTTTCAAGTTTAAGATAAAAAAAAACGTCATAATGTTTTACTTTATAATTCTATAAATGTTATCTTTTTATATTTTTGACAAATCAAAATAATGTAAAAAAGTCAGGCAGTTTTGTATAGATATGTCTTGTTAGTAGTTTGGATTTAAAAGAAAAAAGCCTACTGTTACTTGATTGTCGCTAATTACTTACTGAATTCTTACATTTCAAGACATTCATGCTTTTCATGAAGAAATGTCGTATGCAGCTTACGATTCGCCGCCAAAATTTCCTGAGACAAAACTTCCATTTATGTTTCTCACTTTCCATCTCTAATTCTAATTGTAAGCAACAAGCCTCCTCCACCGAGCAATTAATTATTACCCATTCATCGTCCACCTCTTGTGCGTTACAAGGTTCCATTAAAAGCAAGTACATCATCGATTTTTATAATAAGAAATCACTATTTTTCACATAAAAACTTGATTTCTTCTTTATCACAAAATATTTGCACTTTGTAAATCTATAGAAATCTATAGATTACAGATCAATTACATAAAAATTAAATAAAAAATTCGACTAAATTTGTACGTCATAAGATTCAAGTGTTTCTTCTTCTTTTTGTAAATAAAAGTCTTCGCGGTCAGAGATTATGAATTACGTATGAGTCAACTAATCGTTATCGGGTAGTTTAACGACTTCTTATCACAGAAACGCAAGCGTGGACCGAGTAGATATCAGGATTTCCTCGTGGAAGATGCTACTTGTGAGCGTGCAAAAAAGCACTTGTCAGTAATGATTTCTTGAAGATTTTCTTATCGATTCACTTCATTCGTCTTAGTCGCAGCAGTTTCAGGCACAGAAATGTTTCGTTAATATTGCCGCTTTTTAATAATCTATAACATTCTTTCTCTTTCCTAAACTTTGATCGGATTAGAAGTTTAATCAAAATTTTTCACATGGTTTCAAGATTTCGTATACCACAAAAAAGCTTGGTTTTCAATTTGTTTTAGTCTAAAGCCTTTGAAAGTTAATCCAAATATTTCCCTTCTTCAACTTGGACCAAATCAATATTCTCGATCAACTTGGGCTTTTCGCAAAATCTTAAAACTTTTTACATCGGGAAGAAATCGAAGGTAGAAGGTCTTCTAAATCCAATAAAATGTGTTTCAGAACGAGAAAACGATAATACAGCCGTAACCAGAATCATCAGCACTCACGTGGCTGCCGCCGCGCATCTGACGCCGCTTTGCTTCAGACACTACGATCGGCTGACCGGATGATTAACAACTGATCGAGCGTCAAAGGTGGCGAGAAGAAACTTTAGAGACATTGGTGTCGCTACTGCACTTTAGCCAAGACAACATTTTTCTTCCTTACGGTCATCGGTCAATCACAGTCGCATGGTAACAAATATCGAGATAATCTCGCCGGACGGATAATCTTGTTATTCATGTCTCGATTCAGATATGATCGCAACAAATCCATGTCTTTTTCTTCAGCCAAAATAAAAGATAGAAACATTTCTCTGAATACGAACCTTTGATTTGAGAATGTAAAACAAAATGTGCATCGAAGACAATTTAAATAATCTAAAAATGTATATTCTTATCATGACAAGCTTTTGTTCAGCGTTATAAGACCATTAAGAGTTTTTTTGATAATATGCAATATCGTGATGAGTAATATGCATATGTGTGCAAGATATATCAATTTAGATTATATAAGTAACAATATATTAAGATAAACATGGTAAAAGAAATATTAGTAAATAAACATTACAGCCATAGTGTAGAAAAGAGCGGTAGCAAATCATATTTTGTAACTTGTAAAGAAATCAGAATCAAAGTTATTGTGACATAATATTCATAAAAATCCTTGGCAAAAACATAAATTATTGTTAAATGTAATAACTTATAATATACACTTCAAAATTATGTTTCTAATATATTAATAATGTAATTTTGAAATATGTTTGATGAATCTAATAAACCGATTATTTGCAGACAAAATTAATATTAAAGAACAAAATGTTAATGACAGAAGCAATGTTGGTATAAAATAGACAAAAAAAAAATATAAATATTAATTTAAAATTTCACAATCAACATTATTGTGATCGCAATAAAATTGTATAAAGATATAATAATTGTCACAAGCTGGATAAAATAAATTAATGTGAAGTTGGAAATCCCCATCTTATTCATTTTTCGTAATTTATAGCGTCTCCTATGCATTTTTTCGTATGTTTAATCTCTAAAAAGATATTCGAATTTCTTTACAAATAACTTACACTACTACAGATTTGAAGTAGATGCTAATGGTCATTGTTTTTCTTAAATCTCAAGTCAAAGTCTAATCTCGTCACACTTTTTTAAAAGTTTTCCTTTTTTTCACATTCAATTGTGTTGCACTTCTTTAATAATTTCGAGTAATGTATAATAATCAGAAATAACTAATCTTGACTCTGACAAATTTCGTTGTCATTATTGCTGCTTGAATAATTATTATTATACCATGTTGTCAAAGTATTCTTATTATCATCGAATAATCGTTACCAAATTGTTGACGTAATTGCTATGTTCAGTTCTTAAAAAAGCTTTAATCACTTTATAATCACTGATGCGATGTCCATGATAAGAAGTTAAAATAATTTTGTTTTCCGTTGTTTAGCTTTTTGTCCGTTCCAAAGTATGGCCAGTTATAACCTTGGATCATCGGCGATACACGGAGACAAAATGTATTTTTGATACGTTGATATCGAGGAGGAGTATGTTTGCAACTCGGTGAACAGCCCATGAAATATGTGCACGTTTATAAGTCTTCAATTGATTTCTATCGCTAAACGTAACGTAATGTTCGTCCTCAGCCAGAAAAACGTGTGTCTATTTACGTTGACTATTTACCTCGTATGTGCGTTGTGTTTACCCCTATATAGAAATATACATATTATCGATAATATCCGAGCTCTACTCGGGTATCTCAAGATTGCCAGTTATTGCTTCGTAAGAAGAGGATAGAAAACATGAAGTGATTGATAGCTATGAAACAACTGATACTTGTAATATAAATTAGTTAAAATATTAATTAATATATTAATAAAATATATTAAGATACTCTAATTAATATATAGAAAACAAAACAAAAAAATACTAAGTAAAAGATTATGAATCTCTTTGAATCAATCTTACAAAGGTATAATTCTATCTCTGCGATTACAAGAAAAGATCTATGAAATTTCACGGACAATTTATTTTTATGGATTTTGTCTTTTTAAAATTGATTGTTATCGAGACATAACAACGTAAAGTATCGCATTCTTTGCGATTATTATATAATTTATATTTTCTTATAATTAATTTATATAAAACATAAGTTTTTTATGTATGATGAGATATTGATTACAACAAATGTATTTATATCTTATCTCTGCATTGCACGCGATTTTTTCACTCTATTGATTGTAAATCGAATAATAACATTAAAAATAAATGTAAATCATCTGTTGCTTAATGTACTAATCACAGTGAGACATTTCTCAAGGTTTGTGCACAGATATGATCAAAGATTCATATATGATATTTACTTATGTACATATGTAATTACGAAATTAATCAATGCTTAAAAAATTGTATAAAAATTTTCAGTATGAGAAAAAAAGGCAACAGATATAAAAAATTTTCAAGCTTTAAGCATAATTAATTCAACAAACAATTTACTGTAAGAATTAACTGACAAGACTTACACAAAAGAGGGTCCAGTCGTTCCTTAAAACTTTTATTCCGTTTCAGCCTCTCTACGTCGCTTTCTGCGTCCGTGTCTAGCATGGTCTCCCATTCGGAAGGATCATACGTGCGATCCTTCCGCGAGTCCGACGTATCCTCACGATCCACGTTCCGCTTTTCCACGTTATCGTACGAAGAGTTCCGATCGCTATACAAAGATTCACACGTGTCCGGTGGCTTCAGCAATTCCGGGTATCTATCAGAGTGATTCACATGTGCAATTATTATAATAAAGTAAATAAACTAATAACATTCGATGGACAACGGTGTTGAATATGATATCGAAAAAAACTGCCAACCATGACAAATTCTTACCGTTGCAAAATTATACTTTGAACGGTAAAAGTATTTCCAACAATGTCCCCGTTGCATCTCTCGTCATCTGGAAACTTCCTCGCGACATTGTCACCGTCGTAGTCAGCATCACAGTCATAATCTGGTTCACAATCTTCTGCTTCATTGCCTGTTCGCAATAATTAAGAGTTAGTAATAATGTTCATTATATGTACAGTATTTTTGTTCTCATTTACAATTAGAAAATAATTATTTAACAATTATTTGATATTTTCTTTTGATATTCGAGCTTGATCTTTGAGAAATATATTTTATATATACATACATATATGTATGTATGTACTTTAGCTTTTGTTAATCGCTAGTGTTTTATTTAACTTGTAACATTATTCCAAGAAATAAGCAAAATCTTATTTCGAATATATACAAATAATATGTACAATATATTCTACAATGTGTACGGAACATACCGATAAACTCCCAGCTAGAGTCCACTGTCCAAGAAGTATCGTTGAATACCTTGGTCCTGATCTTCGGTGGCTGAACCGGCTTCGCCCGAGGAATCTTCTTCGCCTCTCTAGTTTGACCCAATCTTTTCGCCAAGTTGTCGACCGACGACGAAATTAATGGTGTCTTGTCCTCTGTTTCCTCGGGCGGTTCCTCCCAGCAGTCGATAGAATGCAATTGATTAACGTTGTTTCCTGTTGGAGTTTGTAACCAACCTGGTTCGCTGTGTCGATACTTGTTCATCGCCGGATTGTTTCTGGTCGGTCGTCTCCGTGGAATTATGACGGCGTTCTGAGCAATGGCGTCAGCCGGTTCCGCATAAAAGGGACTGCTCTGTTTAGATTCGGGAGTCTGAGGACTGTTGCTTTCCGATTTCGCCAGAACAAGACCTAATTTGTTTCTCGGAGGTGTCACTGTGTTCGGACTGTTTAGCGAATTGGCACTGCCTGTAAAGGCAACAGAGTTAGTTTTAAAACACTTGAATAAGTTTTTTAAGGGTCTTTTGTTTCAAAAAGCTCGATAGTTTATTATGAAAAAGAACAAGAAGTAGTAGAAGAACCAAAAACAATTGTATTTGTTTATTATACTCTTTTTTTCCACATTTATTTTAATATGTATTCTGTAACAATCTGATAGATACTGTAATGTACTTACAAACTCTGGATAGCAGATCGGGCTTTCTTCCCATTCCAGTCTCCTCTGGCGAACCCTGATCAGGACTCTTTATTTCCGGAACAGGTTTGAAGCTACTAAACTCCGGACTCGTCATTTCTTTATAGTTCATTTTATCGTTCTTCAAAATAAATCTGTCGTTCTTTAGAATCATTTGTTCTCCCGCTGGTAGTTTTTCATTGGTAAGACTCTTTTCGGATTCTCTAGGACTCATCAGACGATCATTGGAACTCTTCAGACGCGTCTGCGAAGTGCAGACGACTCTGCAGTCTTTCAACCTATCGTTCCAGGTCGATTGCGTCGACTGGTCGGTCGTATTCCAGATGTCTTCATAGTCAGAAATTTTGTCAGCCGGTGAACTACGATAGTACGAATCCAAAATGTCCGATTCCTGATAATGCTGAGAGTTCTTCCGATTCTCGCGATCGCGCCGTCTTTTCGATTTACCGGTGCTGGAGGGAGTATTTGGAGAGAGCACATTGGGTGTTTTCGAAATCAGCTTTGAAGTGGGAGATAAGACTGGGGTGATTGGTGAAAGGAGTGATTTGGTAGAAAAGTTGGAAGTAAGAGATTTGTTGGATTGAGGACTCAATAATGACGTATTGGGATCCGACGGTGTATTTTGCTGTTAGAAAGAAAGTTGCAATTATTTCAACTTTTATCCAAAAAAATTTCTACATTTACAATTATTTGATTATTAATTATGCTATATTTATATAAAAATCAAAAGCTTGATTACATTTAAAAAATCCAAAAATTACATAATAAATGTAACATGATCTCTCAATTTTTACCTGTGAAGTGTTCAGGTCGTTGCTTTGATTCACATTGAACGTCACCGTCGTGGTCACCGTAAAATTACTCTGATTCTGATTGATACCAGGCTTGGCCCATCTCGGCGGCGGCGGCGGCGGCGTCTTCACATTTTGCACAGTTCCTTGATTTTCTGTGACGATATTCCTGATATCCGGCGATACTGGCGATGCGGTGCACGATGACAGATTGTTCTGATGAAAGCTCGAGGTGGACGCAAATTTCGCCGAACTTTTGGTAAACTCGACCATTGTTGATCTTGATGTGTCCAGACCGTTCTTCGGGGTATCAAAGGTCTTTGCATCCTGGGCGGGGCTCAGTACGTTGTTCTCCACGTTGTGAACCACTGGCGAAGGACATCGTACGCTCTGCACGAGATTCGGTGAGATAAGTTTGTGAGAGAGCTTGTCATTCGGCGACGAGATCCGGTCCCTTTTGGTATCATTGAAAGGCTCGTTGAAAGTCGTCAAATTGAGAGTGTTTGGTGGAGTCGGGCGCGGTTGACGCGGCAACGACGATACGAATGATGAGGTGTTTGCGTTAATAGTGTTCGTTGGAGAGGTGTCTGCGCAACAATAAATGTAAATTATTTCTAAAAGAATTATTTAAGAAGAATATATCATTTTGCCTCGCTTTTTCGTAGAAATAATTGTTTCAAATATAAACGATGGATAATGAGAAATTTGAATAAAGAATATTATACTCGATGTTCAAAACAGTACACTTTTGGAAAGTCATTTAAAAGATTGTGGTGTAAAAATAAAGGGAAAAAAATCGTCAGTATCTTACGTGCATTCTGGGACGCTATCGGAGCCAGATTGAGTACTATGCTCTCCGTAGTCGGCGTGTCCATGTTATTGTTATTGTTATTATGGTGATTATTGTTACCTGCAAAAGGATTATGTCATAAATTGCGTCATAAATCAATTTTAGGAACTCTTTTAAAAACTATTCTATATAGATAGCTCTAAATTTAATTTCACATAAATCCAAATAATAAATAACAAACTAATAGATCAACTATTTTAATTTCTATTATAATTAATAAAAGATCGATTTCTTGAAAGATCAATTAATTTTGCCGAATTTGTTTCTGAATTTGTATTTCATCTACTTCAAAGCAATTTACAAGCAATTATATCGAAAACTCACTGCCATGAAAACTGCTGAGACTAGAAGTATTGCTGCTACTGCTTTCTGGCGGCTTTGGATTTGCCATGGGATACCGCCAGAATTCTTGGCCCAACAACGCCAACGATGACAATTGCTGCCTATTCTTCGCTTCCCGCATCGCCCTCGGCAATGTCAATTGCACTGGCAGCTCGTCACTGCTTGCCAAAAGAAGAGCAAATCGATTCAAACTATATATTAATATATTTTTCTGTGAAATATCTCATATTTTTATATATTTTTTACTCGTTATTTTTTATATATGTGTTTAACTTTAATTAATAAACATATTTTTAACTTTTTATTGCACATTAATTTCAGTTGAATATTTTTACATATTTTGTACATTTTCTTCGCCTTCTCGTAAGATTTGTTTATTCGATCTCTCTTTGGATATTAATTATATCTTTCTTTTGTTTAAATATCTATATGTTTTTCACTTAGTCTCTATTATTGCACGAAATGAGAGATTAGAAGATAAAAATGAAAAATGATGCTTTACGTATGCTTATTCTAAAACGGAAATCCTTATACAAATATAAAGAATAAGAAAGAAAAAATCACTCACCAGCATTGCGAATAATGGGCGATCAACGAGGGGATATTATCGAACCTGTTCTCACTCGTTTCCAGACTCAGTTTACCCTTGTTGGCCTGAATCAGGTAGTGCTCGATGTAAGGTCCCTTGCCAACGGGTAATCTCACCGATAGGGCCATCGTGTCGTTCTGGCTCGATTGTCGCACCACGAAGTTCTGTAATGAAAAATGTACATTTATGATAATACCTTGAAAACTGCATTAATTAATAAAGGGCTAGTATTATTATAATACGGAATATGTATAGCGTAATGCTGTATTAAGACACAAGAAAGTGATACAAGTATGAAAGATAAAAATCATTTATTTATTTTTTACATTATGAAAATTTAGCCTCTCCTATTATTTCCTGAATAATCAATTAGAATATTTATTATTTTTATTTGTTGTTCCCCTTCTCGATAAAAAATAAACAAATCATATATATGTATGGTATATATAATTCAGGTGTTTCAAATTCAAATAAAAATTAAAAAATTTAAACTTAAAAAAATAAAGAAAAATGCAGATTTTTGTAGTACTTATTGAAGGTTTAGCTACAAAAAAAAATGTCCCTTACAACCGTCATTTCAGGTTCACTGTTTCAATGCAAAACAGTAAAGAAGGAGCGGGTCCCCACTATTGAAAGTAATTGCGAGGTGCATTGTTTTTCGGCGTTGCAATTCGTTCGAAGCGACTGGCGGGAATCGCAAAAGGACCGAAGGAATGGAAATGACGAAGGACGATTAACAAAGACGCAAAACAATGAGCCGGTAGGGGAAACAATGGAGAAAGAGCAGTGCCTCATCACTCGCTCGCAATCATTTCCGCACTGTAATCAGCGCGGGACTTGCACGCTATTACACAGCGTTATAAAAAATAAAAAAAAAAGAAGAGAGAAGATGGAAAATGAGCATGGACAAGCATCTTATCATTCCGCTTTAATCAATTCTTTCATTAATTTTGCAATATTCGCAATTACTGTTCTCATTTCTCGTTCAATTGTAAATAATCTAAATTTTCAAATTTATTAGTATATGTAGAATAGTAGAATTTTTCATCATCTTTTGTTGAATAAAGTATTTCCTATGACATTAAGCTTTTGTGCCTTTAATGTTAATATTTTTATAATTTCACATATAATATTTTTATTATTAAAACATAATTGCAAAATTATTTTTTAAAAAATAGAAAATAAAATTTTCAAATTTTTTTCAAAGGTTTAATCTAAAATTTTTCCTCTGCGCTTGATCAATCTCGCTATTTCGGTTTACATAAGATGCCGGGTGTGAGAATAGGAAGGATTTTCTCACAGCGTAATTTTGTGTCGATTGCGCGCTGTCAAGCATTGACACGGTTTCTCGTGTCTGAGAATGATGTTCATGTGCTTCCTATTCTTCCTCGCATTAGTATAAACCGCTGGTTAGATAGAGTCGACACACTCGCATTCATTGTTCTGCGCTGTGTTGCGGCAGATATAAACGCGAATAGCGGAAAACGGTGCTGAGCGAACATGATACTTTCTTCAGAAGATAATAGGTGCCCGGTGTGAGCAGAATGAAAATGTATAATTTACAACAAGAATTTATTTTCAAGTGCGATATAATGCACACGCAAAGTTTAAATTTTTAATTTTAATCTACGACGTAGTATGTAAATGCACAAATAAATACTTACTCCTTCTTCTTTGCCCTGCAACAAGTGAAATGCTCCGGCCCTCTGAATACCTGGCAGGAACCAGATCGGGTGAGAGCGTATGAGCCTTTCGATCAGAGTGATATCGCAAGCCACCTCGCTACCAGAATCTTCTGTAGATTCCGAAGATTCTCCCGAAGTGGCCGATCCTTCCGATGAAAGTGATTCTTCGCTCTGATGAGGCAAAAAATATTCATTTAAATTGTAAATAACTCATAATTTTTTCAAAAAATAACAAAAGCATGTAGAACAAAATAATACCTTTACAACCAAATGTTGCAATTTAAAGCATTATTAGTTATTTAAGGAATAGATATATCTATCTGATACAGACATATTTTTTATTCGAATTTTCTTTTTCGAACAATTGATTACAAGAATTTTATGATGATGAACTGATTTAATTCTATTTAAATCATTTAAATTGTTCAGGATTTAATTTAAAAATTCGATGTTTGCATTATGGCTAAAATTAATTTAGACAGGAGCTATTTAAGTTATAGATACAAAATTAAATTGTACAACATAATAAAATGATAATGCAGAAATAAAATGTAGAAATTAATCTAGTTTGAAATTTGCTATATAAATTGGAAATTTACGAGAGTGCTTTTGAAATACATTTCATACGTATTGTAAGTATTAATTTATATAGAAATTCGTTATTTAAATTATCGTGGGGCTTAATTCCGAATATTGTCGTGCGATTGCGATCGTTTCGCGACGCTTGAAGCGCAAATTTTCGGCAATTTGTTTCACTATGAACACGGAAATCTGCGTCTCTCTTTTAAGCCGTGGGGCGTAAATCCCGCCGGCTCTGTCGCACAATGCGCCCCTAATTCCGCATTATATCCGAGTGTCCGTCGAGTCAGTTATCTCAATTCGCAGCCGATGTGTGCCCAGTCGCAATTTATATGTACCCTCTTTTCCTCTTAGAGCAATGCTATAGAAAACGATAATCGAGCGTTTTTGAACTCCTTCGGGGAAAGGGAAGAAAGGCCGCATTATGAGGAAGATTGGAGTAAGTATTAGATGGAGGATTGCAGACTCGATCAATTTTTGATTCGTATTTTTTCCATCTTTTTCGACGTTTTGATCGATACTGATCGAGCGTGACGTTTTTTAATCCCGACGTGACGTCGAAATTTATTTTTTCATCACATTGCCCGAATCGACGGGGGTGAAAGGGAGAAATCGATGACGGGAAAAGCCGAAACGAAAAGCAGAAGAGAAGTGGTAGAGAGGGGAGGGGAAGGGGTATCGGCGAAGGGGTTCGAGTGTAATTTAATTTGAAATGCAGACTGACACACGGTTTCGAGCTAACGGGATTAAACGCGGACGTGCGTCGCGTGTTGAATACTCTCTCTTCGAGAAAGAGCGAAAAAGCGGGGATGGAGGGGGAAGGAGAGAAAGAGCTAATTGCAAATCCCTTAATTGCTCGTCAGAAAAAGTCGCTCGCGGTGAGCCGTGTTGCTTCTTGGAGCTTCGTTGAATGTAAAATACGATATATCAACGAGACGATAGATCAAGTTGTCATATTATATTCCATTCTAAAGATGCAATAAAGACCAAGAGAGAAATGAGGGATAAATCGTTTGAAATGTGTGAAATCTTCTATTTGAAATACAGCATTGTGTATGATATTTATGTGTGATATACAATAAATACAATAAATATAACAAGTGTAAAAAATAATAGACAACAGATATTATTTGGACTGACAAAATGATAAAACATAATTATTTTATACTGCATATTTTATGCGGGATATATTATTATGTAACAACTTCATTTAGAAAATAAATATTTTATATATTTCGAATAATAAGTCTTTTTATTTAAAGTACCTATCGGTGTTTATACTATAATTAAAGAACATTAGTATATGTTAATTGTAAAAATGCACGTAGCGATAAATCTAAAAAGGAAAATAGTATAATAAAATAATAATATTAATTTACTTGGCATTGAATGTTAACATTATTTTCTCCCATATCGCAAATATGCATCTACGTTGCAGTTTACTCTTTCAATTTATAACAAGCGAAACCTTTTATGAGTTGAATTGTTATATTACTGTGTGCTTGCGTGGATGTTGTATAATTTTGGCAACAAAAACTTGTTTGAGAGAAAGGGCGAGCTATGTCACAGAATTTAATATGGCACTGTGGTCGGAGATTTAAATCGTGCGTTATAGCGTGCTTAATTAAACTCGATATTGTTAGTCATGTTACTGTGCAACAGTTACCGCATGCATGCAAATTTTATAATTAATCGAGCCATTCATCTCAAAAGCAATTTCCGAATAATTATTAACGAATGCGTGCTGCAATCTAGGATTGCGCTTGTCATTGCACAAATATAAATTTCATATAAATATATTAGACGAGTATTTTCTAATAATATTATATATATATATATATATACAATATATAGAAAAACATAATCTACTTGGCTACGAAGCAAATATTTTAGTTGCGTACTTTTTTCTCACAGTACAAAAGTACATAAAAAATACATAGAAAGTATCAAAAATATAAAAATTCAATATATAATGAATAATATTCATATATTTGTATCAGAGACTATTGCTCTTATTGAAAACCAAGAAAATATTTTGCGCATTATAAATCATAATATTGCGCTCTTATTTTTTTTTTCTCTGTTTCCAACAGCTCACCTGTACATGATGTAGCTGCGCAAGTTGACGATGCTGCAGCGGATTTGGCGGTGGCGTGCTCGGCGAACTGACCACCTGAACGGTTCCATGCTGCTGCAGATACGGTTCCAGGAAGACATCGCTCCTGTAATGCAGAGGGAGAAAAAATTTGAATTTATTATTTACTCGTATTTTTCGCGTCAATTAGATAGGCTTTCTCAATGCAGTAGAACGTGTTACGCAAATAGCAACACTGGTTTTCCCACGCGAGCACCTATCTGCGATAGCACATAACGTATCAGTCGGCGCACGCAATCAATCGGCGATACCGATACAACTAGGTCGCGCGTAGAATAAAATTTGTCTAATGTTGGAGAACAAATATGTATATATATTATTCGCATATAAGATTGCATATAAGAATATAATTGAATATAACATATAATAATAAATTATAGAGAATTTAAACAGAGAAGAAAAAGACTTTGTTCTATTTTAATTTACTCGTACTTGTTAGATTGGGTAAATTTCGCAATGCGTGTCGCGTAGAGAGGAAATGTCACGTGATACGGTACACAGCATTAAGCTGTTGTTACTTACTGCTTTATGCACATGCATTTATTAGATGCGGCACAGAAAGTAACGAGGTGCAACGGTGACAGCGCAAAATGATGATCTACCGAGTTCTCCAATTTTTAGATTAAATCTGCTAAAAATATTTACGCTAAATCGCTTTGATAATGCAAAATATATTTTTATATTTGTTTATATTTTTTTAGAAATGTCTAATGTTTCAACATTAAGTATCGAAGGCAGATGACTAATTTAAATCAATTGCAATATTATTTACTAAAATTATTATAAGAAAACTTTTTCGTGATGACAAATATAACAATAATAAATGATATAAAGACAAATAGACAATTATTTTGTCTTTAAAATGAAGTACCTACCGTTAATTATTTACTTGTTGAAACTAAATAAATAACTTTAATGATCTAATTAACTGAATTCTTGAATAGGCATTGTATGGCTTCTGCAAAGAACTTTGATCTCGCTGTTGATATTATCAGACAAAGACACTGTGAATTCTGATAAACACAACAAACTTTTGCGTTCACCATGCGAATAGAATTTGAAGATAGAAATTCTAGATTTTCCATTTAATTTAGTTTAAAAGCTGAAGTCGAGTGCTTTTCTCATGATCTGAAAGACGTGAAAGAACCAAAAATGCTTTCTTCTCTTCCTTGCACGACTAGCTTATCGTATAACGCAATCGTTCTCGTTATCGCACACACACACACACACACACACACACACACACACACACACACACACACACACACACACACACACACACACACAAGTACCCTCGTGCCGTTAATCGCACGGAAAATCGCAGGTAAATTCTCCGGGGAATTGCATCACAGGAGTGCGTTACACTGGCGCGAGTAAATAGACTTTTACATAATTCGGAAGTAATTTCCATGAAATTATGTCATGGAAGTAAAGGAAGTAGAACTCGGTAATTGGCTTGCCGAGTTCTGCTTCATATCTTGTGAGAATAATCCAATTCTTTCACAAATACATTGTTAAGAATTATTAAATGTATTGTATAATTATATTATGAATGTATCATAATAATTTCATTTCATGTTTTTATTATTTTATTAATTTTATATTTTGTTATCTATCATAAAAATAAAATTTTATTATTATTGAAGAAATTATTCAAATGATTTCAATAATAAATAATCTCTCGCTTGGAAATTTCTCTTTCAACCGATTCATCGATTTTTATATTGTAACTTATATATATACATTTTAATAATTATATAATATAGAGAAATTGTAAAAAAGAAGAAAGAACTAACATTTGCGGAATTTTTATGTATATTACAACATTACAGCGCGTATAATGTTTAAAAAGATTTTGTGTTACCTCAAGTTTGGAGCGGCAAAATAAACCCGGAAACGATGAATAAGTGATACATGTCACAACGTAGTAGCGTTTGTTTCCGATGAACTTCGCAACGGCATTATTCCCAGCTCGGAACTTTGAGCGCGAGATGGTTGAATGTCAGATTCGAGGCGTTACCGGCAAAAGCAGCATTGTACAAATGTATGATGTATTGTGTCTACTCTGTGTTTGACAGATTTTCTGTGTATCTGTGTGTGTGTGCGCGCGCGCGCGTGTGTGTGTGTGTGTGTATGGGAGAGCAACCAGAGATCATTAGGGACGTGCATAGATCAAACCCACGATTTGTGCGCTTAATAGATTTCCAGTTGCCGCCGTCAATAGATTCCTTTATTCCTTTATGCTTGATGGTTCATATGTTTCTAGGTTGAGAGAAGAATGCAATTTGTAGCAAGGGCGGTTCTTAAAATAAAACTGGGAAGATGGAGAAGATCAATATTAAAAATTCGCACTCTGGCAAACAAGTAATAATTAATACGCACAATATGTTCCAGCGTGTGATAAAAGTAATTCTATATTAATAAATCGAAAAATTCAGAATAAATTTATATAAATATCTCTACAAGTTTAACAAATGTTTTTCTTTGTTAAAAATTTCTGCATAAGGTGAAATTTCAATTGTGTGCATTTGCATAAAATAACGCGATGATATAGAAAAAAGACGCAATGTCATGTCGAGACGTATCGATTTCTCCGCATAGTATATATTCAAATACACGGCACAAAAAGTAATATTATTTCTCCACGGAACCTGCATACGTCATGCTCATAAGATCTTCAAGCCGACATTACAGACTATACAATAAATTTGGATATATAAAGCGTCGCAATATCTTTATACAGAGTGTTCCATAATCTGCCCGATAAACTTTATTTTCTGTGCGAGTCTTAAAGTCAATTTTTTCTTAAAGTATAAATTTTGAATTTTATAAGCAATTGAAAACCAATCATTTTTTTTGCAAATTATATATATAATTCAAATATAATAAAGTGACAAAAAAAAAGAATCAGATTTAATAAAATGTTTGCTAAGAAAAGTCCGACTTTATATCCGAAGAATCCCATCGATAAAATTCGTCGCGAAATAGTCTATTTTTTTCATGCAATTAGTATATTTTAGCTTTTCGCATTATCACCGCATCAAACTAGAAATGACGGAAAGGGGGGTGGACGGCGAGACGTCGGGGGTATGTTCCTGGACCGATGCAGTGATGTTAGTCGTCTGTGAGGTCGGACTATGGGGGTTGCCATGACGATGGGGGGTTCTCAACACGTGGTTCACTGGCAAGCACCAGAGACATTTTTACCTATTAACGAACCACGGGGTGCAGTATTCGGATGCATAGAAAAGGGTCGCACCCTCTAGTAAGAATAAGAATACAAAGAAGTTCGCGAAAGAAAGACTCTCATGTGCTCTTTCTTTCACTTTTCTCTTCGCTCAAAGCGGAAGATGGTGGAAGTTTAGCGGCAAATTAGCACAGTGTAATTAAAGAAGATCTTAACACGATGCACTTCGATGCTTCCGTAATGCATTGCCGTGTAATTAGTCGAGATGATGATGAATCGGTTTGCTCATCTCTTCGACCTTAGATATAACAGCTTATTTATCAATGTATAATTAAATTACACAAAATCTCAAGATTTAAGTTCTGAAAAATTGTAAAAAATGTACAACTATATCACGCTAATACGTTTGTTTCGATTAATATTACATAATGCTTAAAATAACTTTTCTTTTTATAATCTCTTTTGCTGCTATAATGAAATTTTCATTAAAACAATTTTTCCGCGCCATAATGTATTATATTTAAGAAATTACGAACGAGAGTTCCGCTATTCTCATCTCTCGGTGAGGAATTCACGATATTCAAATAATTAAGCACGCACAACTTTCAGACGCGCCGCCGTGGCGATACGCGCTGATGAAAGAGGGCAAAAGTAAAGGATAAAAATTCAAGGATGCCTGGGAGTCGCGTCCTCGCATCTTTCTTCGGCCGGATGATCAAAGAGCAATAAAGAGCAGAAACATCTCTTGAAACAGTTTCGATATTTTCGTAAAATACAAATCCGTGTATTCTGCAAAGTCGCGTAGACTTGAATACACTTCTTCGAGACGAAAACATATCATTATTATAGATGGAGAGAAAGAGAAAGTTTTTGAGAATTTTTTTAAAAACTATAAAGAATAACTTTCAAATTTTCATTAAACAATTACGTATCTTTCTGATAATGCTTGAATTATAATTATTAATTAATATTAAGCAAAATAATGAAAAGAAGGGAATATAGAATATTTTTGTACAATATCTCAGAAAGAATATTTCTTATCTCTTTATATTAAGTAGATTTTTCACGCTATGAGACATTTCACCTGATTGTGAGACAAGTCTGCAATGGTGCGGATGCAAGAAAACTAAGAGATTTATCTATTCAAATATAGGAATTGCAATTTGGTGTCTCGTATTCAAAGCACAGGCTTGCGTGCTCGCAAGCGATTCCAGAGAAAGGTCCGCGGGTCCTCTCGTTACAATTGGAACGCTGCCAATCTTGGAGAAAAATTTATGATGCCGTCGCATTCGTCTGAATTCGTCCGATTTCGTCTCGTACGTTCGTTATAGATATAATTTATGATTTCTTTTTGCATGAAGCATTTACAAGTGATAAAAATCGCGTAATATTACCAATTTTTAAAAAATAAACAATTACTGCGAAATAATGTAGTAGAAGATTAGGGACACACCTAAGATTATACATATAAGTTACTCATAGAAAATCTCAGTAGCAAATAAATGAGTGTATGCAGTGACAATATTGGCATAAAAATTATTTTGGCATTAAACGACACAATTTTTATTAATAGAGAAATATTAAAAATAGAAGCTAATATATTGCCGAGATTCGCAGAGGTTTTCGCTGTGACGATAATCGAATGCCGCTGCGGAAAAGCGCCTGAAAGCGGGCTAGTGGTATATTCTCTTAACGGCTCTCAGTCACGAGACTTTGCGAGCGAAAGGGGATCGGAAAAGTTGTCGATTATGATGATCACCGACCGGAAAAATACGGCCTGCCATCGGCACAGTCTTCTTCTTTTTCCTTCGATCACCGTTTTCTCCTGTTCTCTTTCTCCCTTTCTCCCTTTCTACCATCCGACAAAAAGTTTTTCTATC